GTTGGCCTCCAAGGAAGTGTACTGCTCCCACACATGGAGAGCTACATCTCCATCTTTCTTCCCTACTCAGTGCCTTCTGTGCAGGGTGTAGCCCTCTATGGCTGCATTCTAATCATGTGAGGAGTCCCACCAGGTCTGTGTAATTCCTACTAGATTGTAATGCCCACTGGAGAGTAGGAGGGCTAGCTCCTGCTTGTTCTCCACGCTTCTGATATTAGTGTACAGGCACCTGACTCCTCCAGCTGAGACCCTTGATTTCCTGTCATGCTGAAGGAGCCATGTTCTTGTTGACTGTTCCATTTTCCCTGCTGAGTAAGGCCTGTTAGGGGTCATGAATTCATCTGAATTCTCTTAAGCTACTAGCCCCAGTGAGTAAAAGGAAAAGCTACTTGTAAGGAGAGCCTCTTTTAACTCAGCAGTCTTCAGCCACAGCTATATCAGTCTTCTTGAATTTGTTTCATTCATAGACAGTTTGATCATTAATTCTTAGTCCATTGCAGTATTGCAACAAATGCACCTTATTTGTGACTGGTTTTAAATTAATTGGCTTCAAATGCTATTATAGTAGGAGGCTCGGAAATGATGATAGCAGCAGCAAGACCAGCATGGAAAAAACAATATAATATCCTTCTTGTCCCTTTCAATCCACTGTGTAGTGTGGACAAAAATCCATAAAGTATAATTAAGTGAGGCAAAAGGCTTTCAGTTAAAAATTGGGTAGATAAAGTTAATGTTGAACTATTTGTTGTGGTTTTTTTCAAATTACAGGAGGCAGAAAAGGGTGTGAAGTTCCTGACATTACCTCCAGTGTTACATCTACAACTTATGAGATTTATGTATGACCCTCAAACTGACCAAAACATTAAGATAAATGATAGGTAACACTTTTTATTTTCTTCAATTTTCCTTTTCTGAAAGTTTGAATTTTTTGAAAGTTTCCGAAAGTCTGGTTTCAGGGTTTCCTATTGAAAACCTGGGTTTCCTGTCCCAGGGAAGGGCATGAAGGTACACGGTGCTGGTGATTCTTGGGAATTAATGTTGATTTGCTACACTGATTTTTAGTGTTCTGATTGATAAATTCTGATTTCAGTATTCATTTGTAACCATTTACTGAAAAATGACATAAGTGACCAGTTCAATTGGGTTTTTTTGTTTTTCAGTGATGCCTGTATATTTTGAACCTTCCTTATACCACCAAGTTGTGATATTCTGGTTATAGTTTTGGTTTTAAAACTTAACAGATTGCTAAAGTAACAATAACTAGGGCTACTATCCTCATTCTTTCCCCCCTCACTCCTTGTGCCTCCCCTGTGTCTGCATAAGTAGATATGAATTGGAAAAACTCTTTTGTGACTTTGTGGACCTGGGTTTAATATGAGTCAGGTATACTTTCTTTATTCAGTGATTTCTGGGCATTTCAGCTTCATTGTTTGAAATGGATTTGCAGTATGTACCCAGTTTTTCAGCGTAAATTAAGAAGGAAATTGAGTTTAATTAGAAAATGTGTGCTGTTGTCTGTTTTTAAAATGGCGATATAATTCCAGTCTAAAGTGGGAGAACCATAGTCAATAGTTGCACACTTTTAGCAATACCATGTTAGAGGGGTGGAAGCAGGATTGGGATTGGGCTAGTCTGATGTTTTACATTTTAAATGCAAAGTAACTTCATGATTAATTTGAAATTATTCTGGTTTTACTCTGCAAATAACACTGAAGTTGGCCCTTAGTGTACGTAAATACTTCTAATATATATAAAACATTCTATTTTGCTGTTCCTTTCAAATTAAAGTAGCACTGTATTCATGAGTTGTTTAGTTGATTTAGCTTTCATTAAGGCTAAGTACAGACTGTCAAAAAGCCTGAGGCTGAATCAGTTCAATCTTCACAGGTTAGTCTAAGTTGCATAGATTGAACGAATAAGCAAGTGAACAGACATTCACTTTTGATTCCAGAAATACAGCCACATGTCTGCAATGGCTCAGGCCAGAAGCCAGGAGGCACTAGAGCATGCCTCCCTGGTTGGCTGGAGCAGGCAGCTTGGGCCTAAGCTAGCCCACCCACCCTCCAAGGTGGGGTTTGAATGGAGGCGCATAGCATCCTGTGATGTGGGGGGGTGGGGAGAGGGCTGTGTTTTAACTTGAATCTGGAGGAGATTTTGGACAGAAATTCAATAAACTGATGTAACCTAAATCAGTTAAGTCTGATACAGCGTCCATCCAAGTTTATCTTAAACCAATTTTAGGCCTTTTGAAAGCAGTTGATGCACACTCATCTTCTGTTGTATTACAGATTTCAGCTGGTGTCCTATCAGTTGCATTGGTTTGTACGTAATTTCTGTCCCTAGTTTAAAGAAACTTACTGAAAAGTGTAAATGCACTTCACCATAAAAGTATTATTCTGTATTAACTACAATGAACTTTTTAAAAAACTAGGTTTGAATTTCCTGAGCAGTTGCCACTGGATGAATTTTTGCAAAAAACCGACCCTAAGGATCCTGCAAATTACATCCTTCATGCAGTACTAGTGCACAGTGGAGATAACCACGGTGGACATTATGTTGTTTACTTAAATCCTAAAGGGGATGGCAAAGTAAGTATTGAAAGAGCAATGGATCTCCTTCGGTGACTTGTAGAGGAAGCTTTTGAGGTGGTTGAAAGTTCTTTAGTGGATCATCTCTAAAAACCTGAAACTGAGAGATCCATCTGATGTATACATACATCCTAGGAACTTCTTCATTTCTTAAGAGTGGAGATAATATGTTCTTTGGAGGGGAATAAATAAATTTATTTTTAATACTTTCTGAGAAGAGGTTGTTTCTCACCCTGCTTCTGAACGCTTGGGAAATGTTTTTGTTGTTGTTTTGTAGTTATTTGTATCTTTTGCTCTCTGGACTGAAATTGAGATTTGGAAATGCTGGGATTACTTGCTTTTTTAAGAAGAGCAGGTTCACATTTATCTGTTCTTGACTTGTGGCCAAAGACTTTTTGGGAAATTATCTAGTAACATACATACATAGTAGGGCTTCAGCAGAAAATATTAGTCTGTGCAGCAGGGGAGGGTTGCCCAGAATCTTTCTGGATGTCTCTACTTGCCTGAAATACATGTATTCAAATTGTTATTGTTTTTTAAAAAATGATTTTGGTTCCTTTGAATATTCTCAATAGCATGGGATGCACTATTTTGATAATTTTATATGAAGTTCATAGGCAAAGTATGTTTTCTTTTAAGATTTCTACTCTTTATTTGCTCATAAATAGTTTGGGTAGTTGTTTGTTTTTAAAAGTAAAAGCCTTTTTTTGTATATTTGCTGATCTCTGTAATTTCCCTTTTATTTTCACAACAGATAATTTACAAGCGAAGATGAAATTTTGAGATTTTATTTCATTGTTGTCAAAGTGTGGTGAAATTTTATAAGTAGCAATGGGACAGTTTGGACCACTTGTTTTTATTTCCTTTTACAAAACAAATTGGCATCAGGGATTTCATGGTAGTAAGGAAGTATAATTTGATAGTAGAACATAGAAGAGCAAGGCTGGAAGGGACCTCAGGAAGTGCCCTTGACCAAAACAGGATCATTCCTCCCTAAACCAGCCTGCCCTTAAACGCTTCTAAAGATGGATATTCCACAGGGTCTCAGTAGCCTCTTCCAATGCCTGACCATCTTTGTAAGAAAGTTCTTCCTAATATCTAACCTAAATTCCCTCTATTGTAATTTAAGACCATTGCTCTTGTCCTGACTTCTGCAGCCACAGAGGCTAGGGACAGACATTCAAAAAGCCTGAGCCCAAATTGATTCTATATTTGCAGGTTAGTCTAACCTGGCTAAGCTGAACTGGTTTGTAACCATACATGCATTCCCTCTAGACTGAGAAAATGGAGGCACATGCCTGCACTGGCTCAGGCTAGAAGGGGGCGGGGGGCACTAGAGCAACCCTCCCTTCCTTTCTACACTGCTGAGCTGAGGGAGGGGGAGGGGCATGGCCAAGCACAAACAGGATCCTCTGATTAGGGTGGGGTTCTCCCTCCCCCAACTTTGCTGCTTCTGACCAGCCCAGCAGGGAGTTGATAACAGAGCATTTAGCACCCCATCAAGAAAACAAAAGTTTCTCTCATTAATTCAGGCTCTTCTTAAACAACTTTTTCCAAGGAAGAAAGGGAGGGATATTACCAGCTGACCTGTTGATTAGCTCCAAAAAACCCTAAGCAGACACTGTCCTGTCTGCCTTTGTCCTGTTTGCTTTACACAGACACCTTCTGGCGCTAGCTATCATACCACATGCTGGCTATGGTCCCTGCTCTGGGAGAGGGGAGGGGGGGAATCTCTGCTTGAGCAGGGAGTGGTGAAGGAGCACAGGAAAGCCAGGCAGACGCTGCTGTGCCTCCTGTCTCTGCTGGAGCTCCAGCTAGGGAGCAGAGGGGTGGGGTTGGGGGGCTCTGATTTAAGTTAAACCGGGAAGTTTAACTGTCTGGGACAGATATTGCAGAAACCAGTTTGAGCCAAATCAGTTATGTCTGATATTACATTCAACCAAGTTTATCTCAAACCAGTTTCAGCCATTTTCAAACTGGTTTATGTGCACTGAACATCTGTTCTGTTACAGGTTAAAGTAGTTTCTGATCACTTAAACCAGTTTATGTGTAATGTCTGTCCTTAGCCAGAGAGTAGTATCTGTTCTCTGTATAAGTCTTCAAATAGCTGAAGGGTGGTTATCTGTTATTTTAATAGATTTTATTAAGGCAAATGCTTTGAATAACTGAGTAGGGATTTCTGGTTTTTAACATAAAACACGCTCAAATATCTTATCAGTAAACCTTCAAAGATGTATTCTGAGTGAAAATAGAAAGTAGTGACCATTATCCTGACTTTGTTTGGGTACTTTAAAAAATTCTGTGTCTGAAGAAAAAGCCATGTTCCAGTTGCTTAAAAAAAACTAGAAAGAATTCTAGTCCTGGCATAGAATAAATCTTAAATTTGAGAACCAGTTGAACAGTTTTTTATATGAAAATATTCATTTTTCCCCAGTGGTGTAAATTTGATGATGATGTTGTATCACGATGTACAAAGGAAGAAGCAATTGAACACAATTATGGCGGTCATGATGATGACTTATCCGTGCGGCACTGTACTAATGCTTACATGTTGGTTTACATCAGGGAATCAAAATTAAGTAAGTACACAGCAGTGTGTATGTGTGTTGATTCAGATAATGAAATGAGGTGATGTAGAATATGAACTCTCACTGTTGTCACCCTAAATTGTTGTACTTTTGCCATGTGATGGAACTTCAGAAACTGCATGAGGAGGTTGAGCTGGCTCTTTCCCATCCCCAAAATTCCATATATTTTTAGCTGGCATAATATTGTCTTAAATATACAATGCATAACAAACTTTCTTTGGAGTTGCTTTCATTAATCATAGAAAATTAGGTTTGGAAGGGAGCCTAGGAGGTCATCTAGTCCAATCCCTTACTCAAAACAGGACCATCCCCAACTATATCATCTCAGCCAAGGCTTTGTCTACCCTGCTTTCTACTAGCCAGGGCTGTGCTATGAATGGAAGGACTGTGTCCACATTGTTTTTAAACAACTAAGCCTCAGTGACGAGATCTGTTTCATATATATCTCAAGTTTGAGTGTCATTAACTATCAAATAGAAAATGCTTTTAATTAAAAGATGGGGGGGAAAAAACCTGTCTCTGATATAGTGTTGCCCCAGGAACAGTCATATGTATATATGGAAGTGTTGTTGGATTCTTTTAAATGATATCACAAAATTGACTGTCTTTTGGAGGTGAAGTTTTGCAACCTGTCACAGACCATGATATTCCTCAACAACTAGTAGAACGACTACAAGAAGAAAAGAGAATAGAGGCTCAGAAAAGGAAGGAGAGGCAGGAAGCTCACCTCTACATGCAAGTGCAGGTCAGCTTCGAAACTAACTTCCACTTGGAAATTTGAAATTGAATATTATTTTGAAAAAAATTAGAAGTCTAGAAACCAGGTATATTATAAGCATAGACGTGGTTTGGTGCAAAGTCTTCCCATCTGCTTGCAAGTATATTTCTGTCTTGTGTATTGTGGGGGGGTGTACATTCAAAGGGCTGGTCCATTTGAGGGTTTTTTGTTTTCTTTTTACTTGTAAGAACAGAACTCTGAATGGCTTTTTCAGGGAAAATTAAAATCTTAGATAAAATGAGCAGGACTTGAAGGCGGTGCTTGAGCAGTTATGTACATCACCTTCATGAATTACTTTTTGAAACATGACTACTGTATTTTCTCACATACAGCATGCCCCAAAATATAATACATACCCTGTTTTTGAAAGGAAGAATGAAGAAAAGATTTTTTCCCCAAAGTTATGGCTGCATAGAGCAGGGACAGAGCCTGATCTTCACCACTTGCCCTCCCTTTCCTGCTTAACTAGAGCTGAGACCCTAACTGCTCCTGAAAACTGGTCCCCATGTGTGGATCTTTGAAAGTAAAGGTTCTCCGAGGCTGTGAAATGGGATGAGACAAACCAGGTTCAACTAGTGAACAACAGAGTTGCCCTAAGAAACATTAGCTTGATTAGTGAAGCATCAAAACCTTTTAGAAGGACACATGAGTATTAACACCTCTGGTTAAACAACAATGAGCTATTAAGTCAATTGATTCCCCCAGCTGCCTGAGTAGTAATTCAACAGCTGCTACACTGAAGCAGGAATCAAAACCAGGGTGCATCTGTTCCATGCAGAAAAGCAACTTCCCTGCATAATACATGGACCCCAGTTTTAGGGGGTTGATTTCTCGGGGGAAAGGTGTGTGTTGCGTGCAAGAAATAAAGCATGTCTAGTCAAAGGCCTCAACTAATTGAACTCACCAGTTCGGAGGATTTTGTTACCTTTTGTGAAGATAATATTATCTTTTTTGGAGGCAGCCAGGTACCACTGTAGTCCTGAGTGTTACCTAGCTTGGCTCCAGGGACTGCTGTTCCATACCCTGCACAGATCTGGCTCCATGTGGAGCCATTCAGTACAAAATAAGTGTAAGCACTTCCTCTTTTTTTCCTCAGGCTACTATGTTGCCCATAATCATCTCTTTGGTTTTTGAACAGAGGCAGGTATTTAGCTGCCCCTATACCAGAATTGCACCACTTACACTGGGGTTCTTCTGCAGTGCATAGATGGTTTGGGTGGTGGTGTTTCTGTAGGGTTTTGCAGAAGAGTAACCAATTAAATAAATGTCTATAATATGTTTGCAGAAGTAGGTCCTAAAACATCACAGAGTAGTTTTGTAGAATTAATTGACACTGGTCAAGTACTAAATGTACTCATTTGTATAAGTGTTTCCAAGATTGTAGCCTAAATATTGACCTTGTTGTCTTTTTAGCTGTCAGCATCTTTAAAAAAAAATCATTTTGGCTATAAGTTTATATTATATTAATAACTTGTATGTTTGATGATTTACTATAACATATGTTACACTAGCCAATAAACCAGTTGCATTCAATTATTAAATTTGTCTCAGGGTTTTTGATTCTCTAGCTGTATATATAAAGTTACTTACCCATAAATGCATTTTCAGATAGTGACAGAGGACCAGTTCTGTGGCCACCAAGGCAATGATATGTATGATGAAGAAAAAGTGAAGTACACTGTTTTCAAAGTATTAAAAAACTCCACACTTACAGAATTTGTTCAAAATCTTTCTCAAACTATGGTGAGTTTTCTGTGATATGGTATCTAGCCATCTGTATTATTGTTGTCTGTATTTCCCAGGTATATGTGATGTTCAGTCATAGTTTGGATTTTTGTTAACTGATTAGTTTTGACCAATTCTAATGAAGTACCTTAATCTATTTTTCTCAAAATGTTGTTCTTTTTAGGGATTTCCACAGGATCAAATACGATTATGGCCAATGCAAGCTAGAAGTAATGGCACTAAAAGACCAGCAATGTTGGATAATGAAGCAGATGGCAATAAAACTGTAAATATTCACTGATGAGAGGGGGGAATTATTTCTCTCCGTCTCAAAACATACAGTTTTGACTGTAAAAATGTAGCTGTAGAACATCAGAACCCCAAATGACTTGCAATAAATAATTACGTTTCTAATACAGTAATCTTTATTTTGGGGGGAAATTGTAGGTTTTTGAGAGTTGATTTTGTTTTCTGTTTGTTTTGATTTTGGCGCTTGTTCGTTTGTTTTTTGAGAACAGATAGGGTAGATCTTTGCCTGGTCACAGAAGAAACAGTCATCATTTTACCTGCTTGTGATATGAGTTAATAGATTTAAATATATATTACTGGTATTTCAAATCATAAAGACAAGGACAAGCTTCCTTGAATATGTTATAACATATTGCACCCAAATATCAGTAATAATATGGATACTAAATGTTGTACTGACACATGCTGTAATGTTTGTTTTAGCAGTTGTCATGGACTTAAAAAAAAACAAACAACCCTTTTAAACTGTAAATATTCAGCCTAAAGAGTCCATTTCCAATCAAAATCTATGGGACATAAAGCTTATTTAAGAAACCACAGCACAGTACTTGTAGCTGTTATTTTTACTCTAATAAACTTCCTCTCATTATAACTTTAAAAAAAAAGGATTCTACCAATGGTGTAAAATTCTTTGAAGTACTTTGCTTAATTTTTAATGTATTGAACTGATCAAACAGTACATAGTATTTTGTCTATATTAAAGTCTTCTACAGGCACTTTTTACTCCATTTCTTTTTTTATTTTCCATTTTTAAACAAACAGATGATTGAGCTAAGTGACAATGAAAATCCTTGGACAATATTCCTGGAAACAGTAGATCCAGAGATGGCTGCTACAGGGGCAACATTACCCAAGTTTGATAAAGATCGTAAGTGTATATTCTAAAGCATGAAAAATCCAAAATCTTCCTCTCTCCCCCCGCCCCCTCTCTCATTGTGTTGCAGTGCTCCATGGTAGAAATAGATTGATTTCAAATTGTATTAAGTATTAAAAAGCATTTTAATCTACTATATATGGATGCTTATTTGGGTTCAGTATGTAAATAGTATTCTGAAAAAAAGATCTGGAAACCAGGTTGCATGTTGCTTGTCAGCTAAGAACATTTTTGTCATGCTATTATTAGCATGAAAGTGGATTTTACAGCTAGATGAGCTTCAGATGTGCTAAGATTAATGCTTAAGTTGAAATGTAACTTGTTTCTCAACTTGTAGATGATGTAATGTTATTTCTGAAGATGTATGATCCCAAGACTCGGAGTTTGAATTACTGTGGACATATCTACACACCTATATCCTGCAAAATACGTATGTCTTCAAGCTTTTGTCTTTCTTCAGAAATTTCTTAGAAATTTTAAGAGTGCCAATTATTAATGTAGTTCTTTGCATTTGTTATCAGTTGTATATTAAAATCACAAGTGGGAAAATAAAGTTAAGGCTTTTACAGCAATGTTAGTGTAGCTGTGTTGCACATGTAGTGTGTGTTAAGTGTGTCATAAAATATGCAAGATTTTACAGCATGGCTGCCAAAACAATCAGTCCTCAATTTTCTAACTCTGTAATATATTGTGCGACTTAATTATTGAGTTAGCATAATTTAGCATCCTTTTATTTTAACACAAGTTCAGTTGTCTGTACTTCATATGCTTCAGCTAGGCTTTGAGGTTCACACCACCTTTTGAGATGAATGGGGTGCAAGAATTGTTGGTTCTATCTTTGTTGCTGCAATTTATCTGGAGATGGTTGTCTAAAAAACTTAAGTTATTGGGGCAAGAGCATATTGCTTGATGCAGGGTTGGTTATATCTTTATTACCATATTAAAATTTAGGATTTTATCGTATGGTTGTGAGCACAGCAGATGTTTCAGACTGTGTAAAATTTTGGGATCTACATTTTTCATGTTAATAGGGGTTTTGGTTTTTTCTTATCCTGGAGTACTACAATTTAATGAGAATTGTTGAGAGTTTTGGTGCAAGGTGTTCTACTGTAATCTTTTGTAAAATGCCCTTGTATAACTTATCCCAGCAGCAGCCTGAGAACAGCAGCCACTGTGCCTGTCAGGTTGAAGAGAGAGAGAGATAGAGCGTGTGTGTGTGTGTGTGTGTGT